TTGATATTTATATTCTTGGTCAGTTCAGTAATCCATAGAGATACTTTACGGGCAGATTCAAAGGTCTTGTTAAACCTTGTACCTTTTGTATTTTGAGTTTAGTCTTGTTAAGACAAAGACGTAAATGTTATTGAAGACTGAATACAGGAAGAATAATTAAACTTCCTTATTAATGTGACATTTCCATGATTTTGAACTAAATGTATATGGTAAAATTTATTGTACAAAGTATTAAGTTACATTAACTACAAGAGAAGATAAAGTTTTGTATTTAAAAACTTTAATAAATTTGAATATTATTCTATGGAGTTTCCAGTTGAAATTATTTCCCCCAGACTCAAAATTTTAAATAACTCGGATCCAAAAACTTGTTGCATTAGAAATGAATGGTAACAGGCCACATTCTGAAGTTCTTTAAAAAATTCTTATTCGCAACAAATCGTAACAGGTACAACAGTGATAGGTACATCAGTAACAGGTACAACAGTGATAGGTACATCAGTAACAGGTTTCAACAGTGATAGGTACATCAGTTACAGGTACATCAAACAGGTACAACAGTGATAGGTCATCAGTAACAGGTACATCAGTAACAGGTACATCAGTAACAGGTACAAAAAGTGATGGTACATCAGTAACAGGTACATCCCGTAACAGGTACAACAGTGACAGGTATGTCATAACAGGTGCATCAGTAAGAACTTCAGGGAACAAGTACATCAGTAACAGGTACATCAGTAACAGGTACATCAGTAATGGGTACATCAATAACAAGTACATCAGTAAAAAGGTACAACGGTGACAGGAACATCAGTAACAGGTACATCATTGGACAGGTGCATCAGTAACAGGTACATCAGTAACAGGTATATTCAAAAACAGGTACATCAATAACAGGTACATCAGTAACAGGTACAATGGTGACAAGTACAGAGGCAAAAACAATGTTGCGGCTTTCACAGAGACCCACATGAAGGATCACTTTGACGCGAAATATGGACCCCAGGTTACAACCTATAAAGATGCGACAGAGTGAACGGGCAAAAGGGGGGGGAGGGGTTAGCCTGTATATCGCAAGTCACTTGTTTGCACAGAAATGCTTAGTGACTCAAATGATGTAGTGGAAGTTTAGCAGTAAAGATCGAGAACCAAAACCTAGTCTTTGTGGTAGTTAACAAGCCTCCGGATGCAACATCCCAGCAATTCCAGGAACAGCTGTTAAAAATTGACCACTGTCTGGAAAATCTGCCAGCTCCTGCCCCCAACATCTTGCCCTGGGGATTTCAACTTAAGGCACCTAAAATGGAGGAATATAGCAATAATGTTGTTGCAGTGATAACCCCAAAGGCAGCTCTTACGAGAATTCACACACACACGAGCTTTTAAATCTCTGCACAAATTTCAACTTAAACCAGCAAATAATAGAGCCTACTAGACTGGAGAATACACTAGACCTCATCTTCCCCTAACAACGATGATCTAATAAGAAAAAGTCACCATAAAAAAAACAATATACTCAGATCACAACATAATCGAGGTTCAGACATGTATGCGCGGAGCCCCAGACCGACATAATGAGATTAGTCATGAGGGAGCCTTCACCAAATTCAACTTCAAATAACAAGAAACATAAAGTGGGACCAAGTAAACCAAGTCCTAACCGATTAAGCTGGGAAGATAGACTAAGCAACACAGACCCAACTTATGCCTAGAACAGATTAACTCTGTGGCACTCGATGTATCACAAGGCTTATTCCTTTTAGAAAAAGGAGGAAAAGATGTAAAATGAAAGAGACAGGCGCTCCCTTTACAGGCGGACGAAAAGAATAACAGAGCGGCTAAAAGAGGCCAATATATATCTGAAATGCGTAGGGAGACACTGGTCAGATAAATAGTAAACATCGAATTTAAGCTAAAGGAATCTTATAGGAGTCAGGAATCGCAGGAAGAACTAAAAGCCATAAATGAAATCGAAAGAAACCAAAAATATTTCTTCTCCTATGCCAAATCAAAGTCGAGAACAACGTCCAGTATTGGGCCCCTACTTAAACCAAGATGGTCCACAAGATGACAGCAAGAAAATGAATGAGCTACTCAATTCCCAATATGACTCAGTTTTTAGCAAGCCCCTAACCAGACTGAGAGTCGAAGATCAAAATGAATTTTTATGAGAGAGCCACAGAATTTGGTTAACACAAGCCTGTCTGATGTTTTCTGATGCCAAATGACTTCGAACAGGCGATAAATGAAAATGCCCATGCACTCTGCCCTTGGCCAGACTCATGGAACTCCGTGTTCATCAAGAACTGCAAGAAGCCCCTATCACGAGCTTTTACCATGCTAGGGAGAGGGAGCATGGACACGGGGGTCGTCCCACAGCCTACTAAAAACAACGGGACATAGCCCCACTCCACAAAGGGGCAGTAAAGCAATAGCAAAAGAACTACAGACCGATAGCACTAACATCCCATATCATAAAAATCTTTGAAAGGGTCCTAAGAAGCAAGATCCCCCCCATCTAGAAACCCATCAATTACACAACCCAGGGGCAACAGGGTTTTAGACCCAGGTCGCTCCTGTCTGTCTCAGCTACCGGATCACTACGACAGTCCTAGATGCACTAGAAGACAAAAAGAATACAGATGTTAACATATACAGACTTTGCAAAAGCCTTCGACAAGAGTGACCAGGCGTAATAGAGCACAAAATTGCGTGATAAAGGAATAACAAGAAAGTTGTCGATTTGGGATTATATTTTCCTCACAAACAGAACACAAAGAGTAGTAGTCAACAGAGTAAGTCCGAGGCGGCTATGGTGAAAAGCTCTGTTTTTACAGGCACAGTACTCGTCCCATCTTGTTTCTCATCCTCATCTCTGACATAGACAAGGATGTCCAGCCACAGCACCGTGTCTTCCTTTGCAGATGACGCCCGAATCTGCATGACAGTGTCTTCTTCCATTGCAGACACTGCAAGGCTCCAGGCAGCATCAACCAAATCTTTCAATGGGCTTGGGAGAAAACAATATGAACTCATCGATGAGAAATTCAATTACTCAGATATGGTAAATTTAGGGAAATTAAAACTTCATCACAGTACAAACAAATTCCGGCCACAAAATAGAGCGAAACACCAAAGTCAAAGACCTGGAAGTGTCATGTCGGAGGATCTCACCTTCAAGGACCATAACATTGTATCAATCGCATCTGCTAGAGAAATGACAGGATGGATAATGAGAACTTCAAAACTAGGGAGCCAAGCCATGATGACACTCTTCAGGTCACTTGTTCTATCTAGGCTGGAAAATTGCTGCACACTAACAGCATCTTTCAAGGCAGGTGAAATTGCTGACCTAGAAAATGTACAGAGAACCTTCACAGCGCGCATAACGGAGATAAAACACCTCAATTACTGGGAGCGCTTAAAGTTCCTCAACCTGTACTCCCTGGAATGCAGGCGGGAGAGATACATGATTAAATACACCTGGAAAATCCTAGAGGGACTAGTACCGAATTTGCACACGAAAATCACTCACAACGAAAGCAAAAGACTTGGCAGATGATGCAACATCCCCCCAATGAAAAGCAGGGGTGTCACTAGCACGTTAAGAGACCATACAATAAGTGTCAGGGGCCCGAGACTGTTCAGCTGCCTCCCAGCATACATAAGGGGGATTACCAATAGACCCCTGGCAGTCTTCAAGCTGGCACTCGACAAGCACCTAAAGTCGGTACCTGACCAGCCGGGCTGTGGCTCGTACGTTGATTGCGTGCAGCAGCAGTAACAGCTGGTTTGATCAGGCTCTGATCACCAGGAGGTCTGGTCACAGACCGGCCGCGGGGGCGTTGATCCCCGGAACTCTCTCCAGGTAAACTCCAGGTAAACAGGTACATCTATAACAGGTATATCAGTAACAGGTACAGTAAAAAACAGGTACAGTAGAAAACAGGTACAGAAGACAACAGGTACAGTAAACAGGTACAGTAGACACCGGGTAGAGTAGACAAAGTGTACAGTAGACAAAGTGTACAGTAGACAACGGGTACAGTAGACAAGGGGTACAGTAGACAAAGGGTACAGTAGACAGTAGGTACAGTAGGAAAAGCGGGTACAGTAGACAAAGGGTTCAATAAACAACAGGTACAGTAGACAACAAGTACATTAGACAACAGATACAGTAGACAACAGGGACAGTAAACATTGGGTACAGTAGACAACAGGTCCAGTAGAACACAGGTACAGTAGACAATAGGCACAGTAGACAACAGTTACAGTAGGCAACGGGTACAGTAGACAATGGGTACAGTAGACAACGGGTACAGTAGACAAGGGGTACAATAGACAAGGGGTACAGTAGACAAAAGAATGCAGTAGACAACAGGTACAGTAGACAAAGGGTGCAGTAGACAACAGGTACAATAGGCAACGGGTATATTAGACAACAGGTACAGTAGACAACAGGTACAGTGAACAACAAGTACAGTAGACAACGTGTACAGACGACAACGTGTACACAGTAGACATACAACGGGTACAGTAGACAACAGGTATGCTTGACATCAAATATTTAAGAGAATTTATAGTTACTTTGTGAGCAGGGAAGTTGTTGCATCAGGATGGTGACCACTTGATGGGAGATCTTACTTAGTCTTAGTTCAGTAGTCTCAGGTGTGCTCCCTGCTACAAGTGTGCTCCCTGACACAGGTGTGCTCCCTGACACAGGTGTGGTCCCTGCCACAGGTGTGGTCCCTGCTACAGGTGTGGTCCCTGCCACAGGTGTGGTCCCTGCCACAGATGTGGTCCCTGCCACAGGTGTTGTCCCTGCCACAGGTGTGGTCCCAGCCACACGTGTAGTTCCTGCCACAGGTGTGGTCACTGCCACAGGTGTGGTCACTGCCACAGGTGTGGTCCCTGCCACAGGTGTGATCCCTGCCACAGGTGTGGTCCTTGCCACACGTGTGGCCCCTTCCACAGGTGTGGTCCTGCCACAGGTGTGGCACTGCAAAAGTTGTGGTCCCAGCTACAGGTGTGGCCTCTGCCACAGATATGGTCCCAGCTACAGGTGTAGTTCCTGTCACAGGTATGGTCCCTGCCACAGATGTTGTCCCTGCTACAGGTGTGGTTCCTGCCACAGGTGTGGTCCCTGCTACAGGTGTGGTACCAGCTACAGGTGTGGTTCCTGCCACAGGTGTGGTCCCTGCTACAGGTGTGGTTCCTGCCACAGGTGTGGTCCCCTGGAACAGGTGTGGCCCCTGGAATAGTGTGGTCCCTGCCACAAGTGTGGTACCAGCTCAGGTGTGGTTCCTGCCACAGTTGTGGTCCCAGCTACAGATGTGGTTCCTGCCACAGGTGTGGTCCCTGGAGCAGGAGTGGTCCCTGGAATAGGTGTGGTCCTGGAATAGGTGTGGTACCAGCTACAGGTGTGGTTCGTGCCACAGGTGTGGTCCTGGAACAGGTGTGGTCCCTGCCACAGGTGTGGCCCAGCTACGGATGTGGTTCCTGCCACAGGTGTGGTCCCTGGAACAGGTGTGGCCCCTGGAATAGGTGTGGTCGCTGCCAAAGGTGTGGTCCCAGCTACGAATGTATTTTCCTGCCACAGGTGTGGTCACTGGAACAGGTGTGGTCCCTGCCACAGGTGCGGTCCCTGCCACAGGTGTGATCAGCACTTTGGGTGTTCTGCTAGGCGTCTTATTAGAGATGTTAGGTGTAGGAATGTTAGGGACCTCAGGTGTTATAGAAGGCGTCGCTGTTATGACAGCCTTGTCTCTGGTGTGAGCCCCAGGTGTTGTCCCAGCATTAAGTGTTCTAGCAGCCTTATCTGTGGCCACAGCCACAAGTGAATCTAGTGAAGCTACGGCCTTATTCTGGAGCTCCGTTTTTGGCAGGGGCTCCGTCTTTGTCAGGGGTCCGTCATTGTCAGGGGCTCCGTCTTTGGCAGGGACTCCGTCTTTGTCAGGGGCTCCGTCTTTGGCATAAGCTCCGTCTTTGGCAGGGGCTCCGTCTTTGGCAGGGGCTCCGTCTTTGTCAGGGGCTCCGTCTTTGGCAGGGACTCCGTCTTTGGCAGGGGCTCCGTCTTTGTCAGGGGCTCAGTCTTTGTCAGGGGCTCCGTCTTTGTCAGGGGCTCCGTCTTTGTCAGGGGCTCAGTCTTTGTCAGGGGCTCAGTCTTTGTCAGGGGCTCCGTCTTTGTCAGGGGCTCCGTCTTTGTCAGGGGCTCCGTCTTCGGCAGGAGCATCGGCTTTTGTAGGTGTTCCATATTAGGTGGGAGTGGCCCCCTACGAGTGGGCTGCCGAAGACTAACGGACATTCCAGGAAAATTTTGAGTTGAAGTTTCAAGCAGCAGAGAAGATAACAGCACAATGTGGAATGCTGGAACCATGACTCTAGTGACGGTTGTCGTAACACACTGAGACGCCGTCACCTGAGTCAGACAAGAGAAAGCCCATATTTTAATCTGTTTCTTAAACACACTCAGATCAATTACTTAGTTTAGTCGCTTTTTTCCTAATGGTAATGTAAGTTTTTTAGGCTACATTTCTTAGCGTTAATTAAATATCAAAAATTTTAGAAACTTGTCTTCGAATAATTAATACCATAAGTTATTACTTTAATGGGATGTACAATATAGATATTGAAATTATGTTCACTAATGTTATTCTTAACCCGGAGACACAGAGTACAAACACCGTCATAATGTTATTCTTATCCCGGAGACACAGAGTACAAACACCGTCATAATGTTATTGTTATCCCGGAGACACAGAGTACAAACACCGTCATAATGTTATTGTTATCCCGGAGACACAGAGTACAAACACCGTCATAATGTTATTCTTATCCCGGAGACACAGAGTACAAACACCGTGTTGTGTACGAATGGTATTAATACCGACAAGATGAGATTAAGACACATGTGCAACATCTGGGTATCTTTATTGTAGACGTTTTCGCCATCCAGTGGCTTTATCAATACAAATTCTAGGACATAACTTGAAGACAGTAGAACTATGTACAGAAGATGAGGTAATCAGTCCCTCAACCTAGGAGTAGGTGCGAAGAGCACCATAGTCGTGGAGATTCTGAAGCAGAAGAAAGGAACCTGGCGCTTATATAGTAACGTCAGGTGTAGCAGACGAGGGCATATTCACTGGTTGGCGGGATTCCCAGTGGAAGTAGGTCCTTCCCAAAGAGATGGGTTAGTTGTAGTAGTAGTTGTAGTAGTAGTTGTAGTAGTAGTAGTAGTTGTCGTAGTCGTGAAGGTTATATACATGTCCTCAGAATTAAGATTCCATGATGTTGCAGTGTCTGACAAGTTGTGTACGAATGGTATATAATACCGACAAGATGAGATTAAGACACATGTGCAACATCTGGGTATCTTTATTGTAGACGTTTCGCCATCCAGTGGCTTTATCAATACAAATTCTAGGACATAACTTGAAGACAGTAGAACTATGTACAGAAGATGAGGTAATCAGTCCCTCAACCTAGGAGTAGGTGCGAAGAGCACCATAGTCGTGGAGATTCTGAAGCAGAAGAAAGGACCCTGGCGCTTATATAGGTTGAGGGACTGATTACCTCATCTTCTGTACATAGTTCTACTGTCTTCAAGTTATGTCCTAGAATTTGTATTGATAAAGCCACTGGATGGCGAAACGTCTACAATAAAGATACCCAGATGTTGCACATGTGTCTTAATCTCTACAAACACCGTCATAATGTTATTCTTATCCCGGAGACACAGAGTACAAACACCGTCATAATGTTATTGTTATCCGGAGACACAGAGTACAAACACCGTCATAATGTTATTCTTATCCCGGAGACACAGAGTACAAACACCGTCATAATGTTATTGTTATCCCGGAGACACAGAGTACAAACACCGTCATAATGTTATTCTTATCCCGGAGACAGAGTACAAACAACGTCATAATGTTATTGTTATCCCGAGACACAGAGTACAAACACCGTCATAATGTTATTGTTATCCCGGAGACACAGAGTAACAAACACCGTCATAATGTTATTGTTATCCCGGAGACACAGAGTACAAACACCGTCATAATGTTATTCTTATCCCGGAGACACAGAGTACAAACACCGTCATAATGTTATTGTTATCCCGGAGACACAGAGTACAAACACCGTCATAATGTTATTCTTATCCGGAGACACAGAGTACAAACACTGTCATAATGTTATTCTTATCCCGGAGACACAGAGTACAAACACCGTCATAATGTTATTCTTATTCCCGGAGACACAGAGTACAAACACCGTCATAATGTTATTCTTATCCGGAGACACAGAGTACAAACACCGTCATAATGTTATTCTTATCCCGGAGACACAGAGTACAAACCACCGTCATAATGTTATTCTTATCCCGGAGACAGAGTACAAACACCGTCATAATGTTATTGTTATCCCGGAGACACAGAGTACAAACACCGTCATAATGTTATTGTTATCCCGGAGACACAGAGTACAAACACCGTCATAATGTTATTGTTATCCCGGAGACAGAGTACAAACACGTCATAATGTTAGTGTTATCCCGGAGACACAGAGTACAAACACCGTCATAATGTTATTGTTATCCCTGAGACAGAGTACAAACACCGTCATAATGTTAGTCTTATCCCGGAGACACAGAGTACAAACACCGTCATAATGTTATTCTTATCCGGAGACACAGAGTACAAACACCGTCATAATGTTATTGTTATCCCGGAGACACAGAGTACAAACACCGTCATAATGTTATTGTTATCCCGGAGACAGAGTACAAACACCGTCATAATGTTAGTGTTATCCGGAGAAAAGAGTACAAAACACCGTCATAATGTTATTGTTTTCCCGGAGACAGAGTACAAACACCTCATAATGTTATTGTTATCCCCGGAGACAGAGTACAAAACACCGTCATAATGTTATTGTTATCCCGGATGACAAGAGTACAAACACGTCATAATGTTATTGTTATCCGGAGACACAGAGTACCCCTCTTTTTTCCCAACCAAAAACCCCGTCATATGTTATTGTTATCCCGGAGACAGAGTACAAACACCCTCATAATGTTATTGTTATCCCGGAGACACAGAGTACAAAAACCCTCATAATGTTATTGTTATCCGGAGGAACAGAGTACAAACACCGTCATAATGTTATTGTTATCCCGGAGCACAGAGTACAAACACCGTCATAATGTTATTGTTATCCCCGGGGACAGAGTACAAAAAAACCGTCATAATGTTTTGTTATCCCCGGGGACCAGAGTAAAC